GCTACTCATGGCAGCCCAGCTCCAGGTTGAGCTGTTGTTCAGCATCTTAGCTGTAGAGGGCAGTGTCACTGGCCCTCATATGTGGGATCCAAACCGGGGTCCTCTGGCGTCCCAAGCCAGCTCTTAAACAACGCGCCACTCAGCCAGCCCAATAAAGTTTATTTTTGAAACAAATAAAAATCAGTCTATGAGCTACTGACAAAATATTTTTAAATAAATTTTAAAAATAAGACCAGGCAAAGGCATGTGAATTTATTGTCAGTGTCTTGGATTAAATTCCCATTTTTTGCCTGTATTTTCACATCTATAGTTTGGAGGAGTAACTTCATGGGCTGTCATAAACAGTAATTAATGTGTTAGTATGTCTTAAGCACCAATTTTAAGCACCACTTTGTGCTGAAACTGTCATAATTTTCAAAAGAGTAAGGACCTAAGTAAAAACGACTACTATGATTGCTGAATTGACAAATGGTTATGGGGCAACTTAAATAACTCGATCAAATTTGTGTATCATACTTGCTATGGAGCATTTTACAATTTTTACCAAACCATTTTAACCCCATTCTCTCTTATGTCTTAGTTTTTTTCTAAGGAGCTCAAACTCAGCATACCCACAAAAGGGTTTTAGACTATCCGACAATATGATCAATGAGATATGTATTATCTATTCCAACAAGGAAAGCTGTCTTGAGTGAGCCTAAATAGTAAAGTACTGATTAGCTCTTCTCAATTGAGAATAATCCTTAGATGGGTATCTAAATTTCTCTTAGCGAGGCCTCTTTCTCTCACTTACAGACTTGGTGTTTCCCAACTTAGACTCTGTTGGACCATCTGTGAAAAAAAGTCTTTTATTTCTTGTGTCTTCTTAATTTTATTATTTTCTTTCTTCACTTTACATAGCCTCTCTTTCCCAGAGCACACACACCACACACCACACACCACTCCACATCTCTGTCTGCGTTGTAACATTCTCTGGGATAGTATTTTTCAAGTTGGGATTTCATGGATCATCTGCTTCAGAATCACCTAGAGTCCTTGTTAACAATTTAGAGATCTGAGCCCAATTCCAACCTCTTGAATCAGATCAATTGAGGGCAGGGCCCATAAATCTGCATTTAAACAAGATACCTGTTGAGTCTGATGCTCAGTCAAATTTGAAATCAGTGGTTTTGTATTTTCCACGGAGCTCTTCTTATTCAGCCAAGTCACACAGTGATGTTTTTGGTTTTTTTAATCCTCCTAACTTCAAGCCCTTATTTCCTAAACTTCTCATAGGAAATGTCTGCCTGGTACCATTTCTTACTTTAATTCGTGGTTTTGTGAATTTTTATATTAATATTAACTCTGTGTGTGTGTGTGTGTGTGTGTGTGTGTGTGTGAGAGAGAGAGAGAGAGAGAGAGAGAGAGAGAGAGAGAGAGAGAGACTTTCTTCCCATTGTCATTGTCATAATTTTTAAGGAAAATCCTCATGTCATACTATTTCCTTGCATCAGCTATTGGGCCCAATTTAGTACCTTGTGTACATTAAATGCATAATTGATATTGATGGATTGACTTTACACAGGACTCATCCTGGATATTCTCCTGACTTCAATCATGGACTTCTCTACTGCTTAGTACTTTTTCTCAGTGTTTCCTTTGTTTTGACCCACTGTTCTTTCCACTTTATACCTCTCTGTAGATGACTAACTATTTATGTAGCTCTCTGTGACTGGCTTGTGGATGGGTCTCCAGCCCAGATTCCCTTAAACTCTAGATAAATATATAGTTGCTCAGTGGACTTCCCTCCTTAGATGTCCAACCGGCAGCTCAAAGTCAGCATATCCACAAAATATGTCGTTTTCCCCCAAAGTCTTTATCTGCACCTAAATTCTTTTTGGAAAATAGTAGAATTGTCCATTAAGTTACTCTTACCATTGATTGACCTTGGAAGTATTGCCTAATGCCTTCTGGTGCATGCATTCTGAATTCAGACCATAGTGAATCCAAATTCTAGTTTACCAATACCTGTGCAATCTCAATCAAGGTGATTAAATTCTCTGAATCTCAGTTCCTTTGTCTTTGAAATGGGTACCTAGTACCTACTGCATAGGTTTGTTGTGATGATTAAACGAGATAAAGTTTATAAAATACCTAGCATACAACTGGCGTAAGTTTAATGATTATTATTCAGGCTGTGATCATTTTTTACATGGATTCCATGTTTTCTGAAGTATTCTTCCTGTTCTGACCTTGGTTCCCTGACATGTACCTTCCACACAGCTGTCAGGGGCTAGATTTAAATTACATATATGGTCATGTCAATTTCCTGGTTCGAGTCCTTCAACGACACCCCAAGTCTTTCTTTTATGATAAAGTGCCAACTCCTTGGTTAGCACACAAGTTCCTTCACTGATTGGGTGCCTTCTGTCCTTCTAACCTCATTTCTGATACTCTCAACATTTGCCATTTCTGCTCTCAAGAGATCCAACTACTTTGAGTCCCTCCGATGAGTCATGCAGATCAAGTCCCCATACATTCTACCTGGATGTATAAAGCATGATCTCGTGTTCCAACTTATCAAGTGAACACCTACTCTCATCTTAGGGAGACTTCCTTGAAAATTTAAGTTCTCTTGTATTATCTCTTAGCATTGTGGCTGTCTGTTCATTGTAGGGCTTATTACATTTTGGTGTAGGTGTGATTTGCTTGTTTATTTCTTCCAAGTCATTAAACCATTGCCAATTCATCTTTTGATCCCACAATGTTAGACCCTGTGCCTGGCATGTAATAGGTACACAAAGGATATTTGTTAGGAAAGTGAGTAAATATGTTAAAATGAAATATAAGTTATGGAGATAATGAACTTCCCTTTCTCAGCTCACTGTGATAGTTTCCTTATGGTTGGCTCTCATAAGAGCCAACTTAGAATGTTAAGATTCGTTGGGGCCATAGAAGTAAAGTCATCCACCTCTCTTCAAAAGCAAAATCCCACTACAGCCTGGCCCCAACTCACTATATTTCAGAAATGAGTGAAAAGGAAAACATCTTAAGAAAGAATATCTAGATTCCTGTCTCTTATCAGCAAGATAAAATCCACTGCACTTCATTTAGCACCATATGGTAAGTGTCTGCTTCTAGGTGAAAGATACAACTGCTATTTCTTACATGTGGTGGTGATAAAACTAAAAATGAATCACAAGACAGAATATCTTGACAATGACATCAGATTTGAGAAGGCCAAGTACTTCTCTCACTGCAGGATTATTTATTAGACATAAACCGGGTTTAGAGAGAATGTACTCAGCTTTTTTCTCTTTCTTATTTCAGTATGGGTCAGATTTGGGGTGTGGATCCATAGATTGCCCCCCTTCTCCTACTATATCAATGTACCTTCAGATGAAAATATAGACAATTTAGTTAAGCTCTGCATTTCCTGCACTTCTTTCGGATCAATAATTCATTATCTGCTATATTTGCCAATATGTAAAATCTTCAAGACAGTTGCTATGATTAAATGAAAAACCTGTATTTGCAGACTGTTACATAATTTGAGATTCAAAAGGATTTCTTCCTCTTTTATTTTGATAGCGTCAGCCCTGACCCTTATTCTGCTTGTCAGTTTTTCTTTACGGAATATGCAATTCTGAGAGCTTCTCATTTAGACAATAGCCTTGACATGTAATACAAGTGGACCGCTCACCTTTTACAAAAAAAGTTAAGCTGCTTATCAGATTTCCTGGCTTCTCAAACCACTGTTTTCTGTCAGGTAGGAAAGACTATCCTCTTGGGAGATCAAGGGCCATTAGATATAATTAACTTTCTCCATTCCTTTCCTCTTAGGAGATGGATTTTAAACAACGACGGCACATCCCACCATGCTTTGTGATTACATTCTATTAGACGTGATGAAGCATCTTCAGGGAAGAGAGCCATCATTACCAAGTGAGTTTAAAAACAAATTCCCATGAGATCTGATAATTATCTTGTGGAGTAGAGATTATCTGCCTACAGTAAGAGGATTTATTTTGTTCATTACTGTGCTCATAATAATAGCTTGCAGTGTGATATAAAAAAGAGAGAGTATAGCATGCAGTCCCAGGAGAACAGAGACACCACTGTTCTGTTCTGTAGGAAATCAGCTAGAAGAAGACCAAAAAAAAAAAAATGTATAAATAACAATCATACTCTGGAAAAGAACCTAATCAACTTTCAGTTATCTTTCATGGTTCACACTGACATAATTGAACAGAACAGCTAACTGCTAATATTGTTCAGTATCTCTGGCTTTCATTCCCACATGCAGTCTACAAATCAGCAGGATATATTTAAACCAAGTACTTTATTACCTTCTCCAAATGAGGGAAGTAAGGATGAGAAAATCCACTGAGGAAGAGAGAGGGAGAGAGAGAGAGAAAGGGAGTACAGGAGAGAAGCCTAGCTTACTCTGATCTTTGTCATCAGGAAGAGACACGAGGTGATTCAGCCATTGCACATAGGGTGGGAAGCCAGGGACCACGCTGAGCAGAAAGCAGGAGAAAACTCCTGAGAGCCACGCTTCATTTTATCTACAGCACATTTCCAAAATCTCATTTCATACAAATGTTAAAACACAAAATAACCTCCCAAGCCAAACATAAGTGCACCCTGAACTGGGTACCACTCCCACTAAGGTACAAGGAGAATGGGTAATTGAAGCCAGTGAGCTGTAGGCAAACAAGGAATCAGTATCTCAATATTGCAGAAAAGGACGTTTGGTTTGGCCCTACCAGAGCATATGGTTCACCTTCTCACCTTGCTGATAAAGAATATAGCATTATGATATGACCAGACTGGATATTTTCCTCCCATTATGTCAAAGTTATGTTTAAGTTGCATACAAGTAAGTAGCATGTGTTTATGTATATGTGTGTGTTGTTTCCTTGACTTTTTTTTTTAAGAGTATAGTGTTTCTAGGGGCCTGTTGTGGCATGCGTCTCAAAACACGAAAACAATTTAGAATCCTAGTGGATGGAAAGATAACAATAATAATAATATAATAAAAGAATAATAGTAACATTCATTGCACATGCCTGCAAGGTATGCAACTAAGTACGTTACCTATATTTTCAAATTTAATTCTTAAACAGCCCTGAGATTAGCACCCCCTTTTCCATGTGAGGCACTGAAACTCAGAACAGGTAGACGCCTCTTGCCAGATTGATGAGGATACAGCAGAGTCTGAGTTGAAACCTGGGTCACTTGGATCCTAGGGCCCACAGCCTTTCTTACCTCATCATGCTGCCTTCAGTGCATCTGTTAGCTTGCCCTCAGAAAATTCTATTTGTGGAGTTCCTACTTGTGTTTTAGCAACTGAACAAGTAGTTGAAAATCATAGCACTGTGAGTCCAGCTTGTGACTTATTGTGAAATGACCGGTTGGAAGCATTAATGAAGATGGAAATCCCTGCAGGCTGTCTGAAGAGCACTTGAGAAGGCTCGGCTGCAACTTCAAACATCAGTGCTCTTTAGTGTTTCTGTATACATCATTCACGTTTAGAGTGAAGCCCGACTTTTCTCAAGAGAAGCCATCTGGTCCCTGGAGGCTTTCTGGGCTATAATCCTAAAAAGACAGTCAAGTTGGAAGCTGCTTTTGAAGCTTGTTCACACAGGCCTGATGCTGAATTTGAGTTTAGAGTGGGTTAGGACTTTCCGTATTGGGGCCTGATAGAGCAGTTGATGAGGTTTCACTTGTGAATAATGAAAGAAGCAAGTTGGTCTTTGTTTCCTGTTTTTCTGAGGAAGAAAATAGATGGGTTGGTCTACCAGTCTGATCCTGGAAAGAATAATTTATCAGATGATCTCATGTTTGGAACACAAAGATCAGAGTTAAGAACTCTGAAACTTGGTCAGCATTAATTTTCTACTAGCAAACAACTACATGTGTATTCAGAAATGCCAGCCAATGCATTTTATGGGATTCCACCATGGAAAACAGGTACTAGACATAAGCTCATTCATTGTCTTTGGCCCATACCTGTGGATACTGGAAAAATTGCCTTTCCAACTTAGTTATTTTTATGTTAAGATTATTCAACATGAAAAGAATGATCCAATCTCAAATCACCTACTTTATCTAGAGCAAGGGTCTACATACTTTTTGGTAAAGATCCAGGTCATATTTAGGCTAAATTTGATAAATCATAGTTTTGGCAGCAATATCTTTAACATGAGGACTTATTCATTTATATTTAAGGACAAAGTAGAAGGGAAATTTGGGGGAGGTTATCTGCTCAGGCAAGACTGTGGATGTGGACGTGGCAGTAGAATGTTGCAGTATTGTCTCCTTGCTGTGGGGGATTTACCTTCATGTGCTCTGCTTGGGAGAGATATTTATTTAATAGGTCTTAAGGTCAGATACACAGCACAGGTGATTTGCTAGAGAAGACTCCTCAAACGTGAATTAAGGGGGAGTCAAAAGGAAAGGGGTTAGAATTATTCTATCCTGCTAACCCCTCTCTGTTCAAGGAGTCCCCCCACACACACACATTTCTGTGTATTGCTTTTTGGAGATATCAATACCATTTTCAGCATTTGACTTAATTTCAAAGTGCATCTTTTGTTTATAATTTTTTAAATTTTATTGTTATAGGAAGTGATATTTTCTATTCAATTGGCTTACTTTGCATTGGTTGCAAAGTAAACTTTACCCTAACATTTCATTAAACAGCAAAGCCCTACAATAGAAGGCATCAAGAGTTGGGAAAGATAATGGATGGTCTTTAGGGTCCAGATACTTCCACATGCAAAATATCTGATCGTAATTCTTTCTCTGAACCCCAGTTCCTCATATATGAAGTGGGTTGATAATTTATAATTTTTAAGTTTATTGTGAAAATTGGAGCTAACCAAAGTCAAGTGCTTGGCACAATGTCTAGCTAGTCAAAGACGTTTAGTGGTAGCTATTACTATCCTAATATAGCAAGATGCTACTTTTAAAACTTTGTCAGGTTTATTTCTACAACCTCGTAAAGCAGTTGACAATAATGACTACTATATGTGTGATCTATTGTTTACTCTGAAGTAATACAAGTCTAAAAAATTCATACTTTGAATGTTGGGATGGGGCATTTTACTGTCTATAACTCATACTTCTTTTTAGCTTCACATTTCTCTCTTTTAACTTACGATACTTGGTAAACTAAGTTTCTAGTAATAGTTCCAGAGGCAGGGACCATTTTTCATGCCTAGACAATGGTTCTGTTCTGCCAAGGCATCCAAAGGCTTAATGTGATGTGACCATACTTAATTTTTTCCTGGACTCTGCTTCTGCCATGATGATGGTATAAGCACAGAGGTTCCTCTGTGTTTATATAGAACAATATATTTATTTGTGAAATTTAGAGCTTAGAATAAGCTTTGCTCCCTTTAAATGCAAACAGAATCCTTTCCCTATAAAACACAGCCCTCCGGTACAATTAAAATGAGCTGTCTTCGCAGGTTTAGAATGCTTTCATTTTATAACGATTGAACGAGTAGGCCCATTTGCCTCATTGTCACTCATCTGTCTCATGTCAAATTTTTTTTTTAAAGAAAATCCACTTTATAAGATTCATCCATTCAAAATCCTAGAAGTAATTATGCTTGGGGAAAAGGCCAAACATGACTAGCTATGTACTAGCCTCTATTTAGATGTATACGATTTACTCAGAAAAGAAACTTTACCTTTTGAAAGTGAGCGTTACTTTTCCTGGCAGTGTGATCTATGAGCTGTAGCTGGGAGCATCTTTGGCAGTGCAGGCCCGATAGCAAACCTCAATGTGTGCTTCCCACATTCTCCCTGGAAAGTTTTCTACAGGTCAGAGCCAGGACAAATACAGGGAGCATGGAAGGCAGTCCTGGAGGGGAAAAGACATTTCTAGAGAGTAGCCTGAGACGCCTGTACAAGTAGAAATATATAGTCCTTGTAGTGTTTTGAGGAAAGAAATGGAAGGATTATGAGCACAATGAATGCATGGGAACCTTCGACATCTCTTTTATGTTTTAGTACGACATGATTAACCTGCCTGACACGAGACACTGTTCACTTTGTAGCTGTGTGCTCCCTGAAAACCAAAGGACCAGGGAAAATCACCCTGGATTTCAACACCATTGTAAAGGCCCCACCTGGTGCTAATAACATGTATTTTGGGCTAGAGAAGACTAGCTTAGAGGCATTTAGACACCACTCAAAAATGTCCTCCCATAGGAGAGGTGGAAATGCTTCTCCATGGCCCACTATGCTGCCTGGGCTCAGAGAGACATTCCCTCTCAGTGCCTGAGAGACTTTGCTACCCATTCACCCATCCAGCTTTTTTCTGTCCCTTTTCAGTATCTTCACTTTCTCTTTCTCCTTTCTTTCTGTGAAATAACACCCCAAAGTTCTTCCCAAATTTAAAAACATCACCCCAGGAACCTATTGCACCTTTTAGTCTTTTTAACTTTCCTATTCCTGTTAAAAATCTTCAATAAGTGATTTATGGGTATTAATTACATTTTCTCCCATCTATTCTCTCCTCCACTTCCTTATAATCAGGGTAATTTTCTCATCATGATCCAAAGGGTCTCAAAATCCATAAAGTACCATCGCCTTTACAATTCTGGAAGAGCTCATTTGTTCTGGCTTTCCTTTATACATTTTTTCTTAGTACAGGTACATTCTGTTGGCACTTCAGAGCTCTTTTCTATGTCAAGAGGAACAGCTGATCATTCGAGGTTTTTATCTTGGGCTCACATTTACAATGCATACATCTATGTTGTCAACTAGCTTTGGAAATGAACCAAGTAAAAGATATGGTAAATACTCTCTTCTGAGAATTAATGAAATTGATCATGAAACATGCCCAGATAAGTGGCCTTTCACACCTCTGGACAGATAGGGAGGCCATGTTCCACAGCATATTGGTGTCCAGTGGACCTAAACAGCTA